ATATAAAGAATCATTTACCTTTAATTTTAAAATTTGTGACCAAATAAGGTCAGACCCTAAACAAAAGGGACTATTTGCATAGTTTACCCAAGTATAAAAACCCACAACGAAAAGATTGGACCCATTATTTATTACTCTAATAATAATATTATATGTTTCCAGTTTTTTATTGCTTTCATTTTTGCAGAAATATTATTAATAAGTGGAAAGGAATAGATAAAAGAGGCTTTTAATCACTCAACCAATCCCAAAGTCTTCCTGCCATGGATTCTCTTCCTCTACCTGCTGAATTTCAACCCTCTTTTCTTGGTAGAAATTTATTGTTTTACTACTATTTTTTGTTCTAATTATAGCGGTTTCCTTTGATTAAAAGTTTCTCCTTTTCTTTTTGTTTTTTTTCAGCCTTCAAAAAGTTGGGGTTTTGATGGTAATGTGGGTTTTGTGTTGAGTGCTCTTCTATTGCCATGGATTCCACTTTTGAAGGTATTTTTCTCCTTTCCTATTTGGGTTTTTCGACTGATACATAATCTGGGTTTCAGTTCTCTCATATTGTTCAGCTGTTATTGCCATGGATTCCTCTTTTGAAGGTATTTTCTTCTTCTTTGTATTGGGTTTTCTTAGTGATATGTATTCTGGGATTGAATATTGTGTTTTGCTTTTGGTTTTTAGTTTATTTAAGACCTTAGAGGTTGGATCTTTTGCATGTTGGGTTTGTCTGCACACATCGAGTGGCGACCGTAGGAAAATTTCAAATTCTCCTATAATTTAGATATTATTTTATAGTTTATGTTATTAATTTTTTCGCCTCTAAAATTTTATAAGTTCGCCTAGACATAAAATTTTGTTGCTGTCCCTGTATGCACACCAGTAAAGATTTTCAATCTAAACATAGTTTTCAGCTGAACCATGTTCTTGGTGGATATCTGGGGTCATCTTGTCTTTTGATCTTCATCATTATGATTTATAAATTTCTTGCAAATTCACTGTGGTGAACTGGTGGATGAATCTGACTGTTATTTGCTTTCGTTATGGATGATGCAAGTGGTGACTTTTCTGTGCATGTTATTATATCATTGCATTGTATAGATGTGTAATTTGTCACTCGGACTACAGTGTCTGTGTCAGGTATGACGTATCTGGCACCGGCTATCTTCGATTTTTTTTGTAATTTTTCCCATGTATTTGGACGATCCTTGGAGAGTCTTTGATCCCATACCCTTGTCTGTGTATGTATGTATGTATGTATGTATGTATGTTATATGAACGACGGATCGGTTTTAAAAAGTCAAATGGCATTGTGTTCGTCCCTTACTTGAACTGTCTATGATTTGTTCTTATGTCCAATTGTGATGTAAACACCCATGGAGTTCGGTGTCGTTTCGAACGTCCTTAGTTAATGCAAGTCAATTATGAGTTTTCCCGTTTTACTTTGATTAATAAAGTCCATTAGACATTCTCGATTGACTTTCATAATTGGTTGGTAATGGTGATTCCGTAATGGGCAAAGTTTGGAGTTTTATTCTATTTCTTTTTTCTTGCTTGCAATTTGGTAATCTTCTTGGTTTCTCATTGTTGCATGTCAAGTGCATGGGATGAACAGTGACATTGTTATTTCCCAGTTGAAGAAAGATATGCCTCAAGGATATTGTTGATTTTCGGTTTTGTGAGGGGTTTTAACCTTTTCCTCTCATATTAATGTCATTTCCATTTTTAATTGTATGAATAGACGAATTTCTTGTTTAATGCTCCCGACATTTTGTCAAGTTGATATTAGTATTAGGATCTATCATTCCTCTTGGACTTCCTCATGCTTCCTCTTGGTAACTTGCAATTTTATGTTTTCTTTGGCTTTAGGAGTTGCACTCGATCCGTCAAAATGCAGTAAATTGAGCATGGATGAAAAGAGAGAGCTCGTATGTGAGTTATCGAAGAGGACAGGTAGAGCCTCTGAAATGCTACAATCGTGGAGTCGTCAGGAGATTTTACAGGTCCTATGTGCCGAGATGGGGAAGGAAAGGAAATATACTGGTTTGACTAAGCTGAAAATTATCGAAAACCTTTTGAAAATTGTAGCTGAAAAGAATTCAGGGGTTCATGAAGGTGTAACAGATCCCGAATCACATTCGTACCCAACAGGTGGCCAGAGAACAGCCAAAAGGCAGAGGAAAGCTGATTATCCTTCCCGACTGCCCATTCCTGTGAATGATCCTGGCATTCCTAATGGTGGCAATGACATGATTAATGCTGTTTATTGCAAAAACTCGGCTTGCAAAGCTACCTTGAGACAAAATGATGCTTTTTGCAAAAGGTGTTCTTGCTGCATCTGTTACAAGTTCGATGACAACAAGGATCCTAGTCTATGGTTAATTTGCAGCTCGGAACCTCCTTTCCCAGGAAATTCTTGTGGCATGTCGTGTCATCTCGAATGCGCATTAAAACATGAAAAGTCTGGCATTGGAAAGGATAAACGGCATGCTGTTCTTGATGGGAGCTATTATTGTGTAGCGTGTGGGAAAGTAAATGATTTGCTCGGGTAAATAATCCCACTTGTTCTCTCTATCTCACCCATAAAAAGGAACTATATATATATATATATATATATATGAATTATCGACTACTAGTGCATATATATTTGTGTGTTTACTATTAATGTCGATATACAGTCTGATGTATGAGTTCATTTATTCATTTAGGTGCTGGAGAAAACAAATGATGGCTGCAAAAGATACAAGGAGGGCGGACATTCTTTGTTATCGTGTCTCTTTAGCTCAAAAACTTCTAAATAGGACTGTAAAATACCGTAAGCTTTCAGAGATTGTTGATGAAGCCGTTAAGAAGCTTGAAGTTGAGGTTGGTCCATTAACTGGTGTGCCCGTGAAGATAGGTAGGGGTATCGTCAACAGGCTTTCTTCGGGACCCGAAGTTCAGAAACTCTGTTCTTCTGCAATGGAATCACTGGACAAAATGCTATTAGATACTATCTCTCATTCTTCACCAAATCATTCAATACCAGGTAATGTCTGGTTTGTAACACAGTTGAATTTGTTTCTGTAATCTCGGATGAAATGCTAATGAATTTCAAATTGTCGAAGTAATTTTCTATGGGATTTTGTTTTATTGATTTATGTATCATCTCATCCTTTTTCAGCAAGTTCATGTGCGATTGTTCCAGCAACTGTACGTTTTGAAGATGCAAGTCCAACTTCCGTTACTGTGATTGTGGGTTCTGAAGAACCTTTACGGAGCAGTATAATCGGTTACAGCTTATGGCATCGGAAGGCGTGTGACCGGGATTACCCTGTTGAATCAACTTGTACCATGTTTGTTCCGAACACAAGGTTTGTCGTCACTGGGCTGACTCCAGCTACGGAATATCTTTTCAAAGTCGTGTCATTTAATGGTACAAGAGAGTTCGGTCCCTGGGAGGTTCCGCTTTAACAAGATGTAGTGGGAATGAAGTCCCAAGCTGCCCGATGATGGAAAGAAGTCAAAGCCCAGCTACCAATTGTAGCAGCCTTTCGAATCCGTCTTCGGTGGAGGATGAAACTAATAACATTAATCCGTACAGCGATCAAAATGATGACCGGGCAGACAATTATGATATATATTCCAAGGACACGGATAAAATTGTTTCCACGAATCCATTGAAAGGCACTATCAACTGCACTGTCCTTGGTGAAGATGGAATTCCAGCGGAAGCAGCTCCAATGTCGAGTGAGGAACGCACAATGGTGATAGTTGGTCCTATGCTTGATGTTGATCCACTAAATGTTGAGAAAAAGCACACATCGGAGGACCGGATTACCAAGGAGACAAGCACCGATAATGACTCTTATGGCCCGGTTGAGACTGGTACCAACCGTTTGCCATTGGTCGGTTGCTCAGCAGCTGGGTTGCCCATTACTCCCTGCAGAATGGAAATAATTAAAACTGGACAAGGCAGAAGTAGGAGATCAAAATTCAGCAACAAGGACGTTGAGAATGTGACTAGGAAAGGAGACGATCCTCAAGACAGAGGCACCTCGAAGAAGAAAATCGGAGAAAGGCAAGATGAAGAATGTATGGAAAATGGTCTCTCAGACACGGATTTTGAGCATTACGTGAAGGTGATCAGATGGTTAGAATGTAAGGGACATATCGAGAAGAACTTCAGGCAGAAATTCCTTACGTGGTACAGCTTGAGAGCAACCCCGCAGGAGGTGAGGATCGTGAAGGTTTCGTCGATATCTTCATCACCGATCCGGCATCTCTCGCGGAGCAGCTCGTGGACACATTCTCGGGCTGTATCTCGAGCAAGGGATCATCCACTGTACCGGCAGGCTTTTGCATGAAGCTTTGGCATTGACATGAATATGGATCGTGTCCCGAGGTTTACGTCAACAATTATTCTTTAGACCCATAGCGTTCTTCATTGAGACTGTCACAATGGTATTTTACATTTCATCATTTGCTGCTTTTGTGATTGTTATGATAAATGTAAGAATCCCAGAATTCTTTTACCCTTTCATTTAACACTTGTTAGCTCTTTCACTATGGTTTTAAGTTTTTCCAATGGTGTTTCCATTTCATATATACACATACATTATATACATTTGAATTTGGGTGTCGGCTATTTCGGTCAAACGTCACCGGGGGAATTCATGCAAGACTGTTACAGGACTGGATGCACTCTTGTTTGTGTGATCTCTTAATGTGTGTTCATTCTCCCCTTGTTCGGATTCCCAGTCTTCTCTTTGGATCCCGGTTATCTCAGTCCGAATAACATGAAATAAGATTATCATCTCGATTGATCGTATATATACATGAATGAAAAACTTGAGCAGCAAAATAATGCTTTTCATAAAATTACAACACATTAAAGAGTTTGTCCTCAGTTTACAGCAATCTCGATGCCTGGAGATTGAATTTAGTAAAAGGAGATTTACACCATTGGCAACCTAATACACAAAAACAAGCCGAGTTGGTTACTTTGGCAGAAGGAAGAGAATCACATACAACACGATCCGATCCCGAGAATTCAACTAAGTTCCCTTCACGAATCTGGATGTCTTTCCGCTGCATCAACCATCCTCACTCGGAGCAAGTTCTGTGGAAACAGAAACCCCCGACAAATTAAAATTCGAAACATATGCATTACAAACACAAATAAGTTCGAGATAACATTAGAAAAAGAAAAAAACAGTGATGTCGGAATTTTTTTCGTTACCAGGACAAGAAGTATGCTACACACACTGTATTTTGCTTGATATATCTTTTACTTTAACACCTTCCTTCTGCAATAAAAATGATTCTAATTGTTAAATGATGTCAACACCCGAAGCATCGTGTAGCTGCGACGGATACGTTGAGGAGTAAACTCAACATGGTGAAAACAATAACATAAACAGCTTTTCACATCAAAACATCGGTGTTACGTCCATGGCGCATCTCCTATATATAGCAAGAAGCAATGTGTACACTTAATCACCTATAGACATTAAGTTAATCCAGTAAAATCATATACTAATCCGAGTAGTACTTCGAAACTATGTTACATCGGTTCGGGTAATAGTGTCCGATACGGATATGAGTCCAAGCATGTCGAATGTTACATGTATGTTAGCATTATAATGCAAGCAACATCATTGTCTATAACAAAAGAAACAATTGCTTATAAGCTAATTTCACAAGTAGCTTCAGCAGTACTTTGATTTCACCAAACGTAAGCAATAATACCAAACTAAAAAGAGCTTAAAAGTTATGATCTGGAACTGGAAACTTAAAATTTTCCCGAGAAAATGCATCGTCAAAAGTATTTAAACAGAAATTTTCCCGAGAAAATGAATCAAATCATCAAAAGATGAATGTATAAATACTTACCAATCCCTTGCTCTCATAATAATCGTCTAATGCCCATTGATACTTAGATTGATTTAAACCAAACCAGCGAGCTAAACGATCATCCAAGCTTGAATGTGCTGCAAAAAGAAAGAAAAAACAGTGATTCTTTTCTTCATTGTTCAACAAAATGAATCAAGTATGAACATAATTGAGCTGTTTCTTAATCTTCAATAGAGAAATCCATTTCGTTTCTGTTCTAAACATTAATTATTTTCATGATTAAAACCCAGAAAGTTTCTTTCTAATTAAAAAAATGAAAGTTTCTTTCGAATCAAAAAAATAGAAAAAAGTAGATATACCGTTTTGGAGTTTAAATGCAGCGTTTTTGAAGAAACCCAGATAGGAGCCATCGGAATGGGATTCAGAAGCAAGAAGAGACTTGTCGAACTGCTGGGGCGGCGGTTGGACGGTAGGAGGAGTGGGAGGAGAAGGCTGCGCCGCGGATTGGAAAACAGGGGGTTCAATGGGAGAAGAAGTGGAAGGAGGGGTGATGAAGACGGTGTAAGGGCCGATCTTTCCGATCGTCGGCGGCGGAATCGACGGATCTCTTTTGATCGGCATTCTGATGAAGTAGATGAAGATAGGGGAAGAGTGGAAGTGTGTGAAAGTAAAGCTGAGAAGAACAGTGTCACTGTCACGAAACCCAGGTGGGAAAAAACAGATGCTGTTTTAGTCCATGTCTTCTCATATATTCTACTTTTTACAGTTTAAAATTTTTGGTTTAATTCTAAACTTAATCCTTCCATTTTCTAATAATTTAATAGTTACTTATTGTCGACTAATTTGGGTTGGTAAGATCGAAATATCGGATCTTTAGATACCTAAATTCGAGTCTCGTCATATATAAATAGAGAAAATAATTTCAGTGACCGAAAATGTCTTATAATATGATTTTAACAACTTTTTTTGGATTTGCGAAAATGACCAATAAATTCGCAACGTGAACTCCTATTTCGCAACACAGTTTCCAAATTCGCGTTGCGATTTTCCAAATTCGTAACGTGAATATGTAAATCGCAATGCGAATTTGTAAATCGCAACACAGAAGTCAAATTCGCAACTCGATTTTCGAATTCGCAACACGAATTTAATTTCGCAACAGGTTTTAGTTTCGCAACACAAATGTTTTGGGTATATAACTACGCAGCAGTAGAAAACTCATAACCTAAATCCCTAAATCGCAACTCATTCTATCTCCATCTATCACTCTCTCCGACGACATCCGTTCCTATATCCAACAACATCCTTCCCCATCTCTATTTTTTTTAAATAATTTTATTTCTATACAATTTTTCAATGATTTCTCTCCCAAATTATCAACTATCAACTTAATAAAGGTATGTTTTTCTCTAAGTTAGTGATGGTATCTAGTTTATAGCTCGTTTGTTTAATAAATTAATTTACAATTTGTAAAATGAAATCATCTAATGTTGATCATGTTTGGATAAATTTGTGTTTTGGAGGGTCATGGGAGAATATTCATGGTGTTTTACAATATGTGTCTTTACCCATGAATCTTCAACTAAAACTGTCATTAAAAAGTTAACTTATGAAACTCTAATGTTACGTGTTGCAAAGAAATTGAATTTAGAGCCTCTAAGTGGATTTAGGCTATCTTATCAGAGAAAATGTAAAGTTTATTTGTTAATCGACAATGAAGATGTTGAACGATTCATTGCTTACATTAGTGTTTCGTAAGAAGATGATGTTACATTGTATGTTGTTGAACCTAGAAGTAGTGAAGTTGGGTCAGTAGCGGGTAGTAATCAACTAAGTTCTTCAACCTCAGTTTATGGCGCTCACAATGTACAACGTTGTTATCAACCTCAAAATTTAATGGTTCCACAACAATTTCATCACCAAGAAAAATTTTGTTTCACCACATTTCCAATACCAAAAACAATCTCAAAACCCACAACTTTTTCCTAATCCAAATCTCAATCAACTTTCAGCACCAAATTCCGGATTATGAGCCAACAGAAAAAATTGTGAGTACTAGTCAATATTCAAAATTTGATCTTGGTCAATACCCGGACTTTGATCTTGGTCAATACTCGGATTTTGATGATGTTTCAGAAGAAGAAACAAACCCTATGTGTAATGATTTTAATATTGGTCAATACCCGAATTTTGATGATGAAACAGCCGCTGCCGAGGAAGATGTTGTTGATGATAATGAAGAGGAAGTTACGACTGTGAATGTAACACCCCCAACCCGTACCCGACTCGGATACGAGTCAGAGGTGTTACCTTGACCAGTCAAAGTATATACTTTTATAAAAGCCATAGAAAAATTTAAAGACTTTTTTTCTATAAAGTAATTCTTTTACATAAACATATTTAAAACCTTAACAGACTCATCAGAGCGTACATATATAATGACTTAGTTACATGCCAACATACCGAATTACATAACAAAACATACTTTACAAAATATTTCTGATCTGAACTTTGTGCGGAGATATGCTGCTCTACAGATCTGAAGCTTGATCTTCTGACTTTTCACACCTAAGTGTAAAACACTTACACGCTAAGTCATAGACTTAGTGAGACATGTAAATACATAAAGTAAACTAACAAATGCATGAACATCCCATATAACACATATTATACTTATATACGTATTAAACCCATCACTTACTGGTTTATCCTTACTTATTTCCTTATCATTGATTCAATTCCCTCATATGAGCATATATTGAACATAAACATATAATATAACTTCAAACACAACAATACATGGATAATTACTATGATCATATCATACATAATCATATCACATCTCATATCACTATTAACCATATACACTTGTTACCAGTATTATCATATAATCCTAACTTATCACTTATACATATCGCATATCACATGTACCATTTCACGAGAAACACACATATCATTATATCAAATTATGGTTTCTTTTCAAAGCCCATGCACACTATTGAGAACTTAAGGTACGTGAATATATAGAGGTTGTGCACTATACTGTCACCACATCTCGTATAAATCCCACTAGGGGCGCGTAGAATTTGTCCCGGAGGACCACATAGATGTCTCGAAGGACCACATATAACACATATGTCCCGAAGGACCGCGTAGACCCTCGACTCTTGGCATGCCAAGTATACCTATAGCTCTCATAACACATGACATGGACATTATCTTTTACCTCATTACACATTCACATATTCATATCACATAGTTCTTTCACATTAGCTCTTTATCACATTTCATATGATCACATAATCATGGAGTTTACTTTCACGTAGCATTTTCCATGAAATTCCCGTTTTTCATCCTTTTCACACATGGTCACATCACATATAATCTTATGTCTTATTATCAATATCTAATCTATCTTATTATACTAACATATCATATAGCATTCTAATAAAAGCACATATGAGTCATATTATTTTCATATATATTTTATCATATATTTCATGATCACATGACCTATTATCATAATACAAGCATTTACATAGTTCACACATAAAAATGCATTCAACAATTAAACATATGCATTTACTCATATACCATACATCTAACACCATATCACTACATGTTTATGCTTTAATACTTATATCATATAATATCAGAATTGGACTCATCGCAAGTATTAATTCCTTAACATAACGTATACTTACTATCATGTACTCACCTGGTCTCAATGAACCCTCTTAAACTCTTGTTTTCGTTGTGTATCTCTGTCGACCTATCCAAACTCTGCTTTCGATCGATGTCTACACAATCATATATATATATATATATATATATATATATATATATATATATATATATATATATATATATATGCTATCAGTATCCAATTAATATACTTTAATCTATCATTTCATAAACTGAATAACGATTTATTTTATTTCCCATTGAAGTGCATCGGTGCATTCTACAGTGCATCGATGCATTCTTTAACAAGTGCATCGATGCACTACCATGATCGATACACAATTTACATTCGATGTTTCTATTTTAAGGGGATGCATCGATGCACTCCCCATGCATCGATGCACCAACTGTACTCGATGTTTATTATTTGATAGTGCATCGATGCACATTGAAGATGCATCGATGCACACAACCCAAAAATTACATTTTGAGCCCAAAAATTCTTACTTTGACCTCAAATTCTACTTATTAACCCCTCCTTATGCCTTAAAACTTATCTATACATATATAAACCTTCTTATAACACTATAACACTTCACCATCTCTCATAATCCACCATAATTCTTGAATCAAAGAATTTCATTAAATTTTCCATGTGTTCTAAATTCAATTCTATCACCTTTAACTTCTTAATTAACCCATTGGCAAGTCAAATCCATCTTTAAAACTTCAAAAACCTTTCCATAACAAAAGTTCATTTCTCAACCCTTAATCAAATATCCTTTCTAATTCTCTCCTTTTGTGTTTTAAGCTTATATAAGTTTTCTTTAAACTTATATAAGTTTTCTTTAAGCTTATATAAGCTTTCTTTAAGCTTATATAAGCTTTCTTTAAGCTTATATAACACTCAAAGAATAAAACACAACTCAAATATTCAAGAATTAACCATCAAAATTAAAACTCACCTTTGAGGCTTAAACATGAACACACGGGAAGAAGAAAGAAAGAAGAAAAAGAAGAGTTCCAGATAGCTCTCCAAACCCACGTGTTTCATTCTTATAAAAGAGATAAAATATCTTTTAAGCTAACATTACCATAATGCCTTATAATCCTTTCATATTTACCATTTCATCCAATAATGAAATATTCCTATTAAAATTCTTGAACCTTTAATTTTTCCTAAATTGATCCCCAAGTTTTAAAAATTCACATTTTTGTCACTAACCCTGATTTCAGGATGTTACAAATCTCCCCTCCTTTAAAGAAAATTCATCCTCGAATTTTCACTTTACCTTGAGATGAAACAATCCTTTTATAATACTCAACAATTCTTAACTAATTTAAATCAAATCTTTCAATTATTTCTCTAATTACCACTTACTAAATACTATGATGATTCCCAAATCTATTAATATCAAACTATTTTACCACGATATCAAAATTTACCTGTCAACATCTCTGGATCATCGAAATCTTCATCAGTCCTTAAATTATAAACTTGTGCAGTTGGTTGCATATCATGTTGAGTGAATGACTCCGATCGATTTCTTCTACGACCTCTATTTTTTGAGATACCATTATAGATTTTTCTCTCTGCACTATCTCTTCAGTCATGAGTGGACAATCTCGAATAAAATGTCCAACATCCCCACATCTAAAGCAAGCTCCGGAGATTACTCTACATACCCCTGTATGATTCTTTCCACATTATGAACATTGTCTGACTTGACTGAGATTTGATCTTCTATCAATAAAAACATCTGATTCCAACATATCTTGAGTTAGAGGATCCCATTCCCTATTTTTCTTGGATGGAGAGGAGCTCGACGAAACAACCATCCTTTTAGACTTTTGAAACTCTCTGTTCTTTAAATCTTTCATTCTGAGCTCTCTCTAGAGCTTTAGCTCGATTAACCACTTCTTAAACGATGACAAATTCAAGGCTATCAGCAACTCTCTTAAACTAGGGCGCAAACCCTCCACAAACCAGCCACATACATCCTTCTTAGTCGAATAAGCTCAACA